GGGTTCCAATCAAGGAGAAAAATAATCATGAATCCATATTGATATAAAAGAATAAATGGGAAAGAAGCATAAATCTTCCTTACAGAAGAATTTCAAAGAAGAAAAGTTAAAAAAAAAATTAAAAATAAAAAAGTCGATGGAAGCTGGACATCGTGGTGCACGCCTATAACCCAGTATTCAGGAGAGGCAGGAAGACTGCCGCCAAGGCCAGCCTGAACTACACAGTGAGACCCTGTCTCAATAAATAAACAAATAAACATTTAGGGAAAGGAGGAAGTAGATGCTCACAAGGCTGGTGCAAACACATCTCAGTAACTACAGAGCACTTGTCCCACAGTAGGGAGAAGAGGATGTCACCATCAGACCACTGTAAGTGGAGATGTGGAGGGTGCACCTGTAATCCCAGCACTCAGGCACCTGAGGCAGAAAGATTCCAAGTTCAAAGGCAGAAGGCAATTTAGGAAGATCCAGACTCAAAAATAAAATAAAACGGCCTGGGGCTTAAATCAGTGGCAGAGTGTTCCCCTAGCATGTGGGAGAGGTCCTAGGTCCAATACCAAGCATCAGGGGAAAAAGAGAGAGAAAAAGAAAAGAGCACAATTATTGCAGCTGCAGGCAAGATTCATTGATAAATCAAAGAGTGCTGGGACAGGCCTGTAATCACAGCACTGGAGAGGCTGAGGCAGGAGGATTGCTGTGACTTTGAGGCAAGCCTGGGCTACATAGTTCAAGGCCAGACTGAACTACACAGTGAGACCCTGTCTCAAAAAATTAAAAAAAAAAAAAAAGAAAGAGGGCTGGGGATTTAGCTCAGTGGTCTCGCTGCCTGCTGTGCAGGCACAAGGACCCAAGTTCGATCCCCCATACCAAAAAAAAAAAGAGAAAGAAAGAAAGAAAAGATTCACTAATAAATGCTAAAACAAAACTTTCAGAGGACTCAGATCTCTGTATAGGCCCATGAGTATTTATTATACACTGTGGTGACTTTAACATAGATCCACAAATTCTTGGATACTCCTCCCTTGTTGGGGGGAGCTTAATTCCCTTCCCCTGGAGCATGGGTTTGCCTTGGTTAACTCATTTTTAGCTAACAGAAAGTAAAGAAAAAAAAAGTCACTTTACTTGAGAAACATCACCTTCATCAGTTCATCAGAGTTACTTGCTGCCATTTAAGTATCAGGCATTCCTTGATCTGGTGTGACAGAAGGGCAGACCAGGCCACAGGTATAGCTCAGAGTAGAGCTGGTACTTAGCACCTGTGAGGCCCCCAGTTCAATCCCCAACACAAAAAAAAAAAAAAAAAAAAACAAAGCGAAACTGATACTTACTTGCTTTCCTTTTCAAATTGACTAAATCAAATGAACCCACCAAGATGCCAACTGCTGGGTCAAAATGTTCCTCTCAGATCTTCTTTCTTTTTTTTTTTTTTTGGTACCGGGGATCGACCTCAGGTCCTTGCTCTTGGGAGGCAGGCAGTGGAACCACTGAGCTAAATCCCTGGCCCCAATTTTCTTACTTTTTAAAGAAAACTAAAAACCTACAAACCTACTACTTATGCTTAATATTAAAAAAAAAAAAAAAAAAAAAAAAAAAAAGGAAAAATTACGCTAAAAATTTGTAGTGTCAACAGCAAAAATTTTGAGAGTCAAAAGATGGATCACCAGGGCCAGGGACTTAGCTCAGTGGCACCACATCTACCTGGCAAGCACAATTTCCTGAGTTCAACTCCTGACACCAAAAATTAAAAATGTATCACCAGCCAGAAAAGAATGGATTCTAGCACTCAGGAGGCTGAGGCAGGAAAATGGCTGTGACTTCAAGGCCAGCCTGAACTGCACAGGGAGACCATCTCAAAAAAAAAGAAAAAAAAAATTATCACCAAATTTAGAGGTAAGAGAAGGCCAAGCTATACAGTGAGTTCATTGCCAGCCAGGCCTACAGAGACCCTATCTCAAAAATTACACACACATACACACACACACACACACACACACACACAAACAAGCCCAGTGATAAACATCTCTAATCCCAGCACAGTAGGAGCCTGAAGCAAGAGGATCACAACTTCATGTCCTGGCTGGGCAATTCAGCAACTTAGCAAGACTGTCTCAAAATTTTTTTAAAAAGCGCTGGAAAGTAGCTCTTTGCTAAGAACCTGGATTGAACCCCCAGTCCCCACCCAAATAAAGATTAAGAAAAAGACCAGGGCACTGAGATTAGGAAGAACAAATTCTGCCACCTAAACATAAGAACATCTAAAGCCAGGTTCAGTGGAGCACACCTATAGTTCCAGTACTCAGGAGGCTGAATAGGGAGGCTAGCTTGACCCAAATGTTCAAGATGAAAAGATGAATGGATGGATGGATGGGAGGGAGGGAGGGAGGAAGAAAGGAGGGAAAAAGCCAAGTGTTTCAGGGTCAGCTAACAATGGAAAAAAAATACAATGCAACCTTGTTTGTATATTTGAGATTTTAACACAGGGATGCTGAGACAACAAATACATGACAAGATGACAAAAACATTAAGAGTGTAGGAAAATGTGTCAACAAAAAAAAAAAAGCGAAAAACAAAACAAAAAGGGCCAGGGATGTAGCTCAGCAGCGCTGCGCCTGCCTGGCAAGTGCAAGGTCCTGAGTTCAATCCCAGGTCTCAAAAAGAAAAAAGGAAAATGTGTTAAAACATGCCTCAGCAGGGCCGGGGATTTAGCTCAGTAGTTTCGCCGCCTGTGTCAAAACCGCAAGGACCCAAGTTCGATCCCCAATACCAAAAAAAAAAAAAAAAAAAAATGCCCCAGAACTTATTAACTTGAGCATGTATGTTCTTACAAAGAGACAAGAAGGAAAACTCACTGGACTTCATAACGATTAAAACATCCCCTAAGAACATTCAGTGACCTTCATTCCAATCAACTGCCTGGTTCGTACTACTGATCAGGCTCCCAGGAAAAATGGAGGTGTCCTGGCCAATAGATAATTTTTTTTTGCTTTTTTTTTTTTTTGGTACCAGAGATCAAACTCGGGTCCTTGTGCTTGCACAGCAGGCAGCGAAACCACTGAGCTAAATCCCCAGCCTAGGGACCTTTTGCTTTCGAGGCAGGCACGGGCACCACTGACCTAAATCCCCAGTCTCACCCATGAATTTAAAAAACACCCAGTGCTGTTGCACACTTGTAATCCTACCACTCTGAGAGGCTGAGGCAGGAGGATCCTGAGTTCAAGCCAAGCTGGGCCAATTCTGTGACTTAGTGAGATCTTGTCTCAAAATAAATAAATGTAATTAAATCTGGATGTGGTGGCATGTCTCTGGGAGGCTGAGACAGGAGGATGGTATCAGTTCAAAACCATCCTAGGCTACATGGTAAGTTCAAGGCCAGCCTGAACTACATAGCAAAAAACTCATGTATAATAGATATTGGAAAGTGGGAAGAAAATGTTCAAAGGGGAACAAGGGAGGAGGGAGGGAGAAAGGAAGGAAGGGACAAGAAAAAAGTGAAAATAGAAGGAAAAAATGAAAATAAAGCTTTTGTACATAGGGAGGGTAGGGGGGAATGGGAAAAAAGAGGCGTGATGTATCATGTACAGGTGCAAATTCCCTATGATGTTATCATTCATGTATACCTAAAATGAACCAATAAATTTTTGCCAAAAAAAATTTTTTAAGCTAAAAAATACAAAACTTGTCCCCAAAAAGCAAAAAAGCCAAATAAATAAATAAAAGACAATCCCTGGAGAAAGTCCCATTCTAGGGAGTTGAGAAAAGCAAAGTTGAAAAGTTGTACAGATAGAGTCTCCTGCTTAGCAACTCTAATGTTTGTCTACCAAACACCAAGCCTGTAATAGAGCGTGACAACTGTTCGCTCTAAATCCATGTGCTCAGCTTGGATTCAGGATTGATTTATAAAAATAGCTGCTGCTGGTCTTTGAATCTCTGGCTGATGACTGGGCAGTGCTACCCTATAGTCCTGGAGCAGCTGAATTTCCCTCACCACACCCAACATCTCTCGGCCTACCCGCCCGAGCCGGTAGCACCCCCCCCCATCTCTGCAGCATACTATTCTCCCTCCTCCCAGGCTGAGTGAGCAAATTACAAGCACAAATATCCCCTGATGCAATGCCACAACCATCCCTGGGAAAGAGCAAAGGCAGTTGCCAAAAGCGCAGCAGCAGGGAAACGGACGAGACACACACACACACACACACACACACACACACACACACACACAGAGCAAGAAAGTCTGCAATGATATGCAGCCAGAGAGAGAGAGAGAATCGAGAGGCCCTGGGGAGCAATAGTGTAACTGGACCAGAGGGAAAGGAAAAAGGGGGTTTCCAGCTAAAAGCTGGGGTAACCCTAGCCTTCCCTAGGAGTCCACGGTTCAACCTAGATCTGAGACCTAAAAAAAGCCCCATCTCCTCAGCAAAGCAGCAAAAGCATTTAATTTACACACGTTCCTGGAGATAAGCAAAACCCCTAAAACCATCCCACGAGGCGATTTCAACTAAAAATGAACTCTGGCAACACACCGACGAAAAATGTGCTCCGGCGCAATCTCCGCTCTGGGCGTCGTCTCCAATCGCCCCTTCGGTCCGGATCCCCACTCTGCAGTTCCCACCCTCAAGGTCGGAGATCTGTCTGCACCCCACAGCTGTACACAGGGAAAGCTGGCGTTCCCCAAGCGCCAGGGCCACGCCCGAAAGGGACACCACGCAGACCTCCCGTAAACCCCAGGGACGGTCCCGCACCAGCGGCCCCCCAACTCCTCAGGAGGCGACCCCTAAGTCCCGACACCCCGACCCCCCAGGGCCCGGCAGCCCCCACTTCCTCCGCGCCCAAAGAGCGAAGGTCGCCCGCAGGCCCCTGCCTGGCGCCGCGCGAGTCGCCCCCGCGTCCCTCAGGCGCGCGGCCGCCGCCCTTCCCCGCCTCGGGCGGGCCCTGCGGGTCCTGGGCGGCCGCGGGGCGCCGATAGCAGCCCCCGACACTCTGAGGCAGCCGCCCCTCCGATGGCGCCCGCCCTTACCCGCAGCAGCCGTGCAGGAGGTGGAGCTGGAGATGGAGCCGGAGGGAGCCGGGAGAGGGCCAGGAGGAGCCGGGAGAGCCGGGAGCCGACGCAGCCTGCTAGCGGCCGAGCCGAGGGGCGGGGCGCAGGGAGGCCACTTCCCCGTCGCGCTCCAGAAGGCCGGTGCGGGGGCGGGGCGCCGCCACCGCCTACCCAGAGGGCGCTGCTGCTCCGGCCAATAAGTGCGGTGGGGGGGCGGGCTGAGGGCTGCAAGCCAATGGGCGCCGGCTTTGGCGCCTCGCCCTCCCCGTGGAAGCGGCGCGAGCAGAGGCCGTTGAGGGTGAGGAACGCCTGGGGTCTACCCTGCTGCTCTGGGGTTCGGCAGTACCCACGCGGGCCGCTCACCGCACCCGCTGCGCTGTGACAGCGGCCGCTCGCTTGTGGAGCCCTGGAGCCAGGAGGGTGCGGGGTCGGACACGCGGGCCTGGGCGCGGGTCTCAGGCCGGGCTGTGAGCTCTTTGACGTAACCGGGGCGAGGCCGAGGCGGGGCCTGGGGCGGGGCCAGCTGCTTGCTGCTCGCCGGAGGGGACCGGGATGGGGGGGGACTTCCAGGCTGGGCCGCCGCGGTCTGCGCTGGAAACGTGGCCGGTCCACGTTGAGAATGGCTGGAAATGTAAACACACTGTATTTCCGAGACTTAGTACAGAAAAAATACACAATGTTTCATTTATCCATTAGTCACAAGTGAGATGATTGATTACAAAACTGAATCCACTTTTGGGTGTAATATTTGGTTAAATCAGATATATGTAAAATAATTTGGGGGAGAGGAAAGAGGAGGTAAAGAGAACTAAGGTGTGTTAGGTACATAGACCAGTTCCCCACAATTAATGTAATCATGTGCTGCAAATATATACAGTACTAATTAGAATAAAAATGTTGAGAGCCGGGCGTGGTGGCACATGCCTGTAATCCCGTTACTAGGTAGGCTGAGGCAGGAGGATTGCTGAGAGTTCAAGGCCACCCTGGGCTACATGGCAAGACCCTGTCTCCAAAATAAATAAATAAATAAAATCAAAAGAAGTAAAAGCCTTTATCTAAGCACATTCATCTTGCAGGTCATCTACCTGTTTTTTAGGGAAAATTGTTCTGAAATTTGTTTAAATGCCACCTGTTGTACCAGGGTCTCAGGAGTCACTAAATTGCTCAGGCTGGACTCCAACTTGTGATCCTCCTTCCTCCGCCTCCCAGGGACTACTACCAGGACTGCTGCTGGGGATGGAGCCGGGGCCTCCTGCGCACCAGTGAAGGCTCTGCCCCTGAGCCGCCCCTGGACCCACAGCCTCCATGTGCTCCCTGTACAGCTTTTTCACATTTTAAACAGAGACCCTTCAGGTCGGTAGACAGAAGAGGAAAGGGGGCTGAGCACAGCGTGGCCTGGTTCTGATCACAAACAGGCTGGATGTCACAGTGCTGTGTCACTGTTTTTTCTTCGGAGCTGGAAAGGCCTTAGTTCTTGCATTCAGCTGGGGAAGTACAGAAGGCGGCAGGCCAGCAGGACACCGGACAGGCACCAGGGAGTCCCTTTCTCAGCACAGCTGTCTGGGTGTCAGTAGGGCCTGTCCTCCTCCCCAAGGACCCTGTGGACTGGGGATGAAGATGTAACACACACACACACACACATACACACACACACACACAAACCCCATTGGAGCCACTTTACTTCAGATCCAACAGAAACCCTACTCAGGCGTGCTGAGGATGGGGATGGCAGGGCGACATCAATTCGTGTGCTGGAAGAGGAGAGGGGTTGGGTATCCTTGATCCAAAAGGCCCAGGACACAAAGGATTCAGATTTACAGAACATTTGTTTCAAAAAAAAAAAAAAAAAAACTGAGGGCCAGGGATTTAGTTCAGTGGTTCTGCCACCTGCCTCGCAAGTGCAAGGACCCAAGTCTGATCCCCGGTACAAAAAAAAAAAAAACAGAAGGTTTGTTTCTTGTACTAGTTGACCATTCCTAGTCTGAAAATTTCAAATCTAAAATGATTTGAAAGCTTTTGAACACCAAGAAAATTTTCGAATCTGGGATGCACAGCCTATATGGGAAAGTGTCTGGACAGCTCCCCAAATGGCTGGTGAGGGAAATGTTATGAACTGTTTCAGAACCTGCCATAGGACTCTTGCGGTACAGTAATACCCACATGGGATACAAGTGCAAGAGTCAAAATGGGACAAAAACAAGCATAATAAACATCTAAAGTTTTATGGAAATGTAAGCCCAGTGTCGTGGCCCATGCCTGTGACCCTAGCATTCTGGGAGATGGAGGAGGGAGGCTCACAAGTTCAAGTCCTATTTGGCCAGCCTGGTGATTTAGTAAGAACCTGTCTCAAAATGAAACATAAAAATTTCAAAAGGACACCAAGACCCATCCTAAATAGCCTCAGCATTTGGGAGCAGACATGGTGCCCTCTGGGAAGCTGAGGCAGGAGAATCACAAATTGGAGCCCATCTGGGAAATTTTGAGATGCTGACTTAAAAAAAACAAAGGTGGGCCTGAGATTTAGCTCAGTGGTTCCACTGCTTGCCTTGCAAGCGCAAGGACCCGAGTTCCATCCCCGGTACCAAAAAAAAAACAGGCAATTTAATATGATAATAGTCATTTTTTTCAAATTCAGAACAATACATCATTGAGTTTAGTTGTCAGAATGTTTGGTGATTCTTTTGGGGAACAGTATAGATCTATATTGCAAGCAGTGCATAAATACTAGGAAAACCCAAGATCTGGTGATTTGGGGAGGGGAAGGCCTTTTCTCTTTCCTGAAGTGATAAACTGGTAATTGAAGAACAAGCTGTGTTCTGGTTTTCATTTGGTAAAGTTTGTGTTAAGAAAAATGGCTGGGGAAAAAAAAAAGAAAAGAAAAATGGCTGGGGCTGGGGATTTAGCTCCGTGGCACTGTGCCTGCCTCTCAAGTACAAGGTCCTAAGTTCAATCCTGGGTACCAGGTGGGAAAAAAAAAAAAGGGCTGGGGATTTAGCTCACTGGTTCTGCCGCCTGCCTCGCAAGCACAGGGACCTGAGTTTGATCCCCAGTACCAAAAAAAGGAAAAACAGCTGATTTGTGCATTTATAATTTGCTCCATTCAATAGAGGCCAACCCTTTTCACATGGGTTCCAATGTGTTGCTAAAACACTAAGCTACCTGAGTACAATGGCCCACACTTGTAATCTCAGCTACTCAGGAAGCTGAGGCAGGAGAATCAGAGGTTAATACCTTCTAGGCAACTAGGAAAGACCCTGTTTCAAAATAAAAAATAAAAAGGGCTGTAGTTCAGTGAGAAGGGCCTGGGTTCAATCCCTAGTACTGAAAAGAAAAGAAACACAACCTCACCAAGAGTATGTGTGACAGCACAAGACTTCCCAACCGTTTGAGAGACTGAGACAGGAAAATGGCAAGTTTGAGTATTAACTTTAAGTGTTTGCCCAGCCAGAGCAACTTAATGAGAACCTGCCTTAAAAAAATAAAAAAGATGGGGCTGGGGATTTAGCCTAGTGGTTCTGCCGCCTACCTTGCAGGCGCAAGGTCCCAAGTTCGATCCCCGGTACCAAAAAATAAAAAAAATAAAAATAAAATTAAAAAGATCAGCTGGGGATTTAGCTCAGTGGTTCCACTACCTGCCTCACAAGCGCAAGGTCCCGAGTTCGATCCCCGGTACAAAAAAAAAAAGATCTTAGGATGTAGCTGAGTATGAAGGTCCTGGGTTCATTCCCAAGTACCACAAAACTAAAAGAAAAGGAAAAGTATCCCCATCAAACAACCCACTTCTCTGTTAAAATACAACCAAGTTACTGGGTGGGGGGGTGTTTTTATTGAGACAGGGTCTCACTATGTAGCTCAGGCTGGCCTTCAACTGAGACCACCTCCTCCAACTCCCTCTTTCCACACCTTTTTTCCTTTGTTTTTTATTTTTCCTGTTTCTTTCCAGGATCCACTTCCTGGCCAGGAGTCATAACTGCTCTCAACTGTGACTGAGGCTGCACATAGTGATGATGCACTCTACAGACACATGGCTCCCTCCCAGGACGTCTGTCCTCTGTTCTAAATCCAAGTTGCCAATAAAAGCCAATTCTGATCCCAACCAGCAGGACCCTAGAGCTCACCCCTGGGCAGGTCAGGGATTTACTCAGAATCCAGCCCTGCCCACATTAATATAGTTGAGACAGTTCTTATCTTGGTTTTTGTCTACATTTTTTTTTTTCAGTACCAGTGATCAAACTCAGGACCTTGTGCTTGCGAAGCAGGCATGGCATCACTGAGCTACATCCCCAGCCCCTCATCTTGGTTTTTGCTTTGGGTTTGGGTTTTGGTTTTGGTTTTGTTTTTTTGAGACAGGATCTCGTGTTGTCCCAGCTGGCCTTGAGCTTACTATGTGACCAAGTTCAAACTCATTGGCCTCAATCTCATTGTGATCCTCCTCCCTCAACCTACCAAGTGCTGGGGTCACAGGTGTGCACCGCCATACCTGGCTTTCATCTTGGTGTTATTGCTTCTGCACCTCACATCCAACTTCTGGCTCAGCACCTGAGGTCACTGAAGAGATGAGTCCTGGTCATAGATGGCGTGAACTGGAAGATCCTTAGAGCATCCCATCCAGAGGCCAAGCAGAAATTGTAAGTGAGAAGCCAGGCATGGTGGTGCACGCCTGTAGTCTCAACACTGGGGAAGCTGAGGCAGGAGGATCACCATGAGTTCCAGGCCAGCCTAGGCTACATAGTTCAAGGCCAGTCTGAACTACATAGTAAGACTGTCTCAAAAAAAAAAAAAAATCACACTCGAGCAAACTCATTTGCCGTAATATTAGATGGTGCTGGGAGGAGCAGGAGAGCATGAACTCCAACTATACCTAGTTGCTGCCAGTTGGTTGGAATGTACCCCAGTGTGGTCAGAGAAGACAGCCACATTTCTAAGTGAAATATCCTGATTGTTGAGTGTTGGTTACTAATTGAGCATTTTTTCAGTACCATGGATCAAACTCAGGACCTTTCACTTGCAAGGCAGATGCAGTGCCACTGAGCTAAATCCCCGGTCCTAGGAAACCAAATTTTTTTTTTGTACTGGGGATCGAACTCAGGACCTTGAGCTTTCAAGGCAAGTGGCAGAACCACTGAGCTAAATCCCCAGCCCTTGAGCATTTTTAAGAACATAGCATAGGCCAAACACATCTGTGGACTGGCAGGTCTTGGGTTGCCAATTTGACACACGGCTGTAATCTCAAGGCACAGGAGCCTGAGGCAGGAGGATCTCCGTGAGTTCAAGGCCAGTCTAGGCTACATAGTGAGTTCACTGAATTCTAGCCAGACCTTATCTCAAAAAGGAGGGAGGATGTGTACACTCTGCTGTTTTTGATCCTTTACCCCGCAGAGAAGCAGGCCAGTGTCACCCAGCAGAGCAGACAAGGAGAGAAGGAGGCGCCCCCAACCTTCAGAGCCCATGTTCAGCACTTCGCATGTCAGTTAGAAACCCAAGAGCAACTCCTTCCAATTCAGTAACCCTCTGGTGAGAGCCAGCTCTAAGATTTTCTGAGAAGAGTTGAACAAGAAGATACACTTATTTTAGCCAGGCATGGTAGGGCACTCCTATAATCACAGCGCTCTGGGAGGCTGAGGCAGAAGGATCACAAGTCTGAGCCAAGCCTAGGCAACTTAGTGTGAGACCCTATCTCAAAAGCAGGGGAGCCCGGGATTTTAGCTCAGTGGTTTCGCCGCCTGCTGCGCCTGCTGCGCAAGCGCAATGACCAGAGTTCGATCCCGGCACCAAAAAAAAAAAAAAGCAGGGGAGAGGGGCCAGGGATTTAGCTCAGTGGTTGCAGCGTCCGCCACGCAAACGAAAGGTCCCCAGTTCAATCCTTGGTACCAAAAAAAAGTGGGGAGAGCAGACTCTGCCTGTAGGAAGTTTAGCTGAAGAAACCGAGGTAGTGGCGGTGAGGCGGTATCTTGGGCCCAAATGGCAACTGTGGAGGGTAGCAGCAGTGGTGAGAAAGGGCAGGGCAGCAACACTAAAGTCACCTACTCTGTTGGAGGAGGTGGCGAAGCACAACTTTGTGAAGGAACTGTGGCTGGTGATCCACGGGCGAGTCTATGATGTCACCCGCTTTCTTTTTTTTTGTTACCGGGAGATCGAACTCGGGACCTTGCGCTTTTGAGGCGGCGGAACCACTCAGCTAAATTCCCGGCCCCATCAGCCGCTTTCTTAACGAGCATCCAGGTGGAAAAGAGGTTCTGCTGGAGCAAGCTGGCGTAGATGCAAGGGAAAGCTTTGAAGATGTAGGCCATTCCTCTGATGCCAGAGAAATGCTAAAGCAGTACCACTTCGGAGATGTCCATCCGAATGACCTTAAACCTCAAAGTGGTAGCAAGGATCCTTCGAAAAATAATTCGTGCAAAAGTTGCTGGTCATATTGGATTTTCCCATTGTAGACGCTGTCCTGCTAGATTTCCGCTCTCGGGCGGCCGCAGTGCCCTCCTCGAATCCCCTAATTGTACTCTTCCCCTTTGGAGCCGGGACAGTTGACCAGATGTCCCCCTCCAGTCTAGGCCATGTGTCCTTCCTCTCCCAGAGCACCTGCTCATCGCTCTGTCCTGGCCACTGTTTCTTCTGTCAATACCCTCACATGTCACAGGTTTATGTTGCTGATGGCAGTTCGCACATTGTCGTGACATTGCTCAGTGGGAAAAATGCCTGCTTTCTAATACTTTGAATCCAATTAGAGATTCTTATCACTCTAGTTTTTTCTTTTTTTTCATTTTTTAAAACTTTCAAATTCTGATTTGATTCTGTTATTTACCGTAAAGGGTTTCAGATGTGAAGTGAAAGCATGCACCTGTCATTTACACCATGCCTGCCAGATGACCTTGTTCCCTGCTGTGTTTGTTGGAACCGGAGAGAACGGTGTGGTCATCTCCCTTCCTGGCCAGTGTAGCTGGCAGCCCTTCCCAGTCCACCAGTCAAGCCCCTTTTCTTTCCAAGGGGTGCTGGACAAAACTGTGCTTTCTTGGGGGTGGGAACAGCCAACAAAAGAAAGGAATGGGCTGGGTGGGGTAATCAAACCCTGACAAATTAAGAGTAATCTTTTCTTTTTTGGAGGGGGGCGGACCTTGCGCTTGCAAGGCAGGCAGCAGAACCACTAAGCTAAATCCCCGGGCCCTTTCTTTTGAAAAATATTTTTAAAAACACTACTACTTTAGGGCAGAAAGTTAGAAAAGGCACCAAAACCCTTTCTTTTGTTTGGTACCAGCTTCTAATCCTCTCTCTTTGTCCCCTCTTTTATTGGTAAAAATATAAATGTATAATCATGTCTATGGAGCTTTACCAAGGATTCTTACTGCTTTTGTATATTGATTAGCAAAATTTTGATTCCTCATTTTACAAAAGCAAGAGACTCGGTGAAATAACTTCCGTATAAAATATCATTTGAAAATGAGAGATCATGACCGGAGACTGCTTTCCATTTCATCTGTAATTTTACTTCCATGACTCCAACTTAAGGTTTTATTTTACTCAAACAATGATAGGGCCGCGGATTTAGCTCAATGGTTCACTGCCTGCCTCGCAAGCAGAAGGACCCGAGTTTGATCTCTGGTACCAAAAAATAAATAATAATAATTTTTTTTAAAATAACAAACTAAAAAGGGGAATGGGGGGTGGGGGTGTGTGCTGGGAATATGCCTCAGCACAAAGGCCGGGGGTTCAATCCCCAGTAACTCAAAGAAGAAAGCAAAAGAAGGGATTCCTTGGCTCTCTTCACTCAGCTGGGAGTCAGGCGCTCCACCTGCAAATGATTTCTGTTTAGGACAGGGCTGGCCCCTGTGTGAGATGACTCAGTTCGGCTCAGGAACGCTACAGGGAACGCTACAGGGGCTCTAAAAAATGCTCTGCTTGGACACAATCTCGCACTTACTTAAAAGCTGCAAGAATAAAACTGCATGGAGAACTTACATATCCTTTACTAAGAGGCACCTATTTTTAGCATTTGCACATTTGCTTAATTATGCATTGCACACATCCCACACACAAGTAATGTTTTGGGGTCCATTTGAGTGTAACTCACACACATTACGCTCTCTACTGTGTAGAGAGTATTTTGGTGTGCATTCCTTAATAATCAGAGTGTGGACAGCAAACTTTGGAAATTGCACTCATTTATCATCCCTATTCTAATTTTGTCAAGTGCCTTAGTAATACTCCTTATATCATTCTTTTTCCTTCTCCAAAAGACAGCCCAGAGCAGGATTGAATGTTGAATTCAGCTGCCATGTCTTTTCATATGTACGAGGTACCGGGGATTGAACCCAGGGCTTTCACACTAAGCTACATCCCCAGCTCTTTTTTTTTTTTTTTTTGGTAACGGGGATCGAACTCAGGTCCTTGCACTTGCGGGGCAGGCAGCAGAACCACTGAGCTAAATCCCCAGCAGCCCCCAGCTCTTTTTATTTTTTATTTTTCGACAGGGTCTATCTGAGTCACTACACTGCCCTGGCTAGACTCATACTTACTAGTCTCCTGCCTCAGCCTCCCAGAGCACTGGGATTCCAGGCATGCACCAGCACATGCAGCTTTGCTATGTCTCTAGTTTCAGTTATGTGGTACATTTCCATAGACTGTGTGCCTGTGTGTGTGTGTGTGTGTGTGTGTGTGTGTCTTCTATGACACCAACATTTTTAAAGAACATAGCTTCCCCCTTTTCCATCAAACACCTCCTCATTTGGAATGGCTCAAACCTCCTGGTTCTACACCACTCAGCCCAGAATACTCCAAATGGGACGAGGGTCTCAAGCACCAAACCAGGATACATGTGGCCTGCATGGCCCCTCACTAGAGGCATTCATTTTGGTCATCAGGGCAAAGTATTTTCTGATTTCTCCCTGTAATGTTTTGTTTTGCCCTGTAGTTAATCCACAGTCTGTGACAGACACTGTGTTTTGTTTTGGTGAGACAGGGTACAATTCCCTTACATCTGAACCCCTTTGCCAGGTGCTTTCTGAAACTAGCCTTGGAGGTTTGTTCCGACCCCAGAGACTTTTTTTTTTGGTACCAGGGATCGAACTCGGGTCCTTTCACTTGCACAGCAGGCAGCCAAAC